CCCGACTTCGGACGGCGCGGGCCGGCGCCCGGATATCCCTCACCGACAGCTCCCCTTCCCACCCGGAGAGAGGCATCGGCCCCCAAGGGGGGCTTCCTCAGGCAGCCTCTGCCACTCCTGCATGGCTGCGACCCACCGAGCGGAGCGTCGTGGTAGCTGAGACCTGGTGCCCTTCGACGGCCTGGCTGATCCGGTGAGTTGTGCAGGGCGGGGTTCTGCGCTGGAGCTGGGGGCATCCTCTGGCGTCCGGGCAGCCGGGATTGGACAGAAGGGGTCCTAGGCTGTTGGGGGTCCTGAAGCAGCGATAACCCTTGCCTGCCCCGTTTCTCCCTCCGAACACAATTTGTTCAGACCGGCCAGCCGACGGGAGTGGAGGTTGGGGGCCCGTTCGGATTCCGCGGGGCCCTGGGCGGGTTGGTTGCCAGAGAGGAAAGGTCACCCCACCCGTAAAGCTAACAAAGATAGCGGCTCTGTCATCCGAAAATTCCCCGGGAACTCCAGTGTCTTGGAAGGGCTGGGGGGTGGGGGGGCACCCCGGATGGGAAAACGGTGAGGGTCTCCCGAGCAGCCTCTGAGATCTTCAAGGCAAATCACCTCAGGGGGGGTTTGGGGGTTCCAGAAACGCAGGTGGCTACGTTTGAGGCTTGTGCCCCATGGGGCTAGACCTTAGCAGAGCCCTCGTTCAAATCACGTTCCCACAACTCGCAGGGACGGTAGGTTCCCCAGTAGGGGCACGACATGACGTGACGTCAAGTCTCAGTTTCTGATGTCACCGGGGTTGCCGTGGCAACACCACTTGCCTTGACCCAAGGCCAGAGGGGCCAGGGTCGTGGTAATCAGGGGATGCCTTTGCGTAATGGAGGGGTGAAGGCAGACTCCCCCCACCCCCATCATTGCAGTCCTCTGACCTAAATCCTTAGCGCCCCATGAGGTGGGGGAAGGAGGCAGTGCCAGCTGTCCCTGTTGATGCTCCTCCCCTCAAGGACAGGTGTTCAGAGCTTTGCCCATGTAGCCTGGCAGTGCCTGGGGGCTCAGGCCTCCCAGACAGAGCAACTTTCTGTTTTGAAAAGAGATGCTGTAGAAGAGACCTCCCTGAACCCCACCGTGTACCCAGCCGGCAGGCTGAAGTTCCCAGGGTCCCCAGAGAGGTGTGGGTCTCTGGCCCTCCAACAGGCTACTTCTGCTCGGGAAAATGTGGGTGCCCCTCCCCGAGCCAGGGAAGGTGCAGAGGAGCTGCTGCCTGCTGCACCGTCTAGTCCAGGGGCTCCTCATGCTGTTCTATCCCAAGGTGAGGGGCCTTGGCCAACCTGGAACTCCTGACTGCCCCCTGCTCCTTCTGGTATTTGAGAGGATTTCAACAAGCGTATTGTGAGGCTGCTTAAGTGAATGGCGGGCAAGTGAGGCCCATCAGTACCAAGGTCTGAATAAACTGTGTCTCTGCCAGGGCACCCCCCAACCAACACACACCCCAGTACTGGCCCTGTTCCCTGCAAAGGCCCAGAGAACCCCCAGCCAGCATCCTGCTGCTGGTTCTGGGATTCGTCTAGGTCCCTTCCAGCAATTACTGCCAGTGTCGGATGCTGGTGAAACTGCTGTGATCACATTTCTAGGAAAAGGTTCGAAAACTGTGTCATTGCTTCAGCAGCGTGGGGCGGGGTAAGAGCAGAGAAAGTGTGTGTTCGGGTCATTAGGAGAAGCCAGGCCCCAGTCTCCGCAGCGAGCATTTTCCCTGCTCTTCTACCAGGCTCTCTAGCTAGATTAACAGGTCAATAAATATCGGTGGAGCTGCTTTTGGGGGCTTGGCAGGGAGATGGTATTTCCAGCTGAAATGGTGTCGTTAAACACACAAGCTTCCAAGGACAGAGGAGCAACAGCAGATTGGGGGAGAGCCGGGAGAGGTGGGCAGAAGGGCTGTTTGCGCTGCCTCTCGAAGCTTCCCAGTTTAGAAACAAACTCGGAGTGCGCGCCAGAGATTCACAAACACAGGCAGTTGGAGGCCCTCCGCCGAGTATTTACACTTCCACAGCCAAGGCAGAGGGAAAGGCTGTCAGAATTGGGCAATTCCTTCTGTTCCCTTCCCTCATCTCCCTGGGCTTGGCAATCAGCGTGCCAGACGATGAGCAGGAGGGAGTGCCAGCTTTCTCAGCATCTCCCTATATGCCAGGCGTTTTACACGATCTCAGTTACTCCTTGGAGCGGCTCATATGCTGTGGCCCATTTTATAGATAAATAAACTGAGGCTTAAACAGAGGAAGTGATGGGCTACAGGTGATCAGCCAGGCAGCTGCAGAGGTTCGGCCCTGAATTGCCCTCCTGGCTCCGGAGTCTTTGGGTCTTACCACCTCCTCCCATGGGGCTGGGGGACACCCCTACTTACTAGACAGGGGTCCCTGCAGGCATCAGAGGCTATCAGCCATGGAGGGGGAGTCTGGCCCCAATCAAGATGCTTTGTCCACACTGAAAGGCAGATTTGAATCCTCTTTTCCTGTGACCTACAGGTCAGCATTGAGCAGAGTAACAACTTCCGCCGGGCCTTGTGGTCTGTCTGCTTCCCTCACCCCCAGGACTCCTTTCTCCAGCACTAGGGGAAGGAAGGTGTGGCTTGAAACTCACTCCTTGTCATCTGCCCTTCTGGACTTGCTTGGAGGGAGGTGGTGAGGCTGCCCCTGGCCACCCCAGGGACCTTCTTGGGATGTAGACGGGGCAAGGGCAAACTTTAGCAGATGAGGTTCCTGACCCAGCCTGAGGGTCAGGAAGCCTTAGAGGAGAGGTGCCACGTGAGTCACGAAGAGGACAAATAGGAATGTGCCAGACAGGAATGAGAAGACTGTTCTGGGTGGCAGAAGTGGCCCCAGAGCAGCCAGTGATGTGTGTGGGCCCTCATGCCTGATGGGGAAAGAGGCAGCCATAGGTGCTGTGTCCTGGAGCCTCAGGTGGATGGGGAAGGTTTAAGCAGGGCAGAGGATCCAGTGATCTCCCTTGACAAGGACAGTAACCCCGGACATCCCTTCCTGTAAGCGTGGAAGAGGTCACCTCAGTTCTGGGAGCAGTCTCCTCTCTGAAGGTTGGCCCTACCCCCACCCCCACTAATCCTTCTCACTTGTCTAATTCCTGTAAGCCGTCCATCCCTTGTCCCTTCTGAGCCTTAGGGCTGCTCTGGACTAAACCAGAACTGGGCTGGGCTGCTGAACCCCCTTGATGAGAAACTTGAGGCGCCCTGGTGATGGGCAGTGGCTCCTGATTAGGTGCCAGGCTCTGGCGTGGGTTGGGCCTGGATCGTACTCTGAGCCCACCGCTTGCAGGCTGTGTGACCTCGGGTGAGTACCTTTGCCTCTCTGAGCCTCAGTTTACTCATCTGTGAGAAGGAGCGACCATAGCACTCACTGCGCAGGGTCTGGTGAGGATTCAGGGAGGGCCTAGCACAGCACTCAGTATACAGTAAGCACTCAATAAACACAAGTTGTCATGGCTACTGTTAACCTCCTCCTCAGAAGGGAGCCTTGAATGACTCAGTCCCTTGGAGCCAAGGGTTGAAGACCCCATTTGCAGGGAGAGGCCGGAACCCTACCAGCTGCCTCTGCCAGGGGCTTCTCTGTCCACTGAAGCCCCCACCCATCCACCCGGTGAGCACTCGTGGCTCCTTTCTGAGCTTCTGCGGGGGCTGGGACTTGGCCGGGGGTCCCTCCGCAACCTCCCTCCGGCCCCCTCTGCCTTTCCATCCCTCACAAACCGGAGGAAGCCAGCGAAGCAGCTCATATTCATGAACCGTAATTCAATCAGGCGGCGATTCCTCTGGGCTCGGGGCGGGGGTGAGAACGAGGAGGCGCTCACAAAAGGGCCGCTTTATTACCTCCCGCGGGCCGGGAATTGCTGCTCTCCCCCAGCAGCGGCCGGAGCCGCCTTTATTGTGTTAACCCATTTGCGTGTCAAGAGCTATTGTGCGCTTTCTCTGCCTGTGCGTTGCGGGCCGCGGGAGGAGGGCTGCGGTGCCGGCCGGTCACCTCCGCGGGCGCCGCCCGCCGCCCTGATTGGTTGCTAAGTGATTTGCATCCAAGGTAATCACTTTTATCTCAGAAGGATGTCGACTATAATTATAAGCTACTGACATCTTTTGAAATCTGCCTAATGACTATTTTAGTCTGCACGGGCTGGGTGTGGGGAGGGGGATTCTGGAGAGGGTGGAGGCTGGGAAGAGGGATGGATTCCTTCCACCTGGACCCCTGATTGCTTAGTTGAGAAATATCTGAGTACCTACTGCATGCGTCAAACAAAAGATGGGGTCTCTGTGATGGGGGGCTTGCATTCCTGTGGGCAGAGTTAGTGCCACTTCAGAGTTAGGGAAATGGAGGCCCTGGGGAAGGGGCGACCTGCCCAGACCACACAGCCAATATGCAACCACCATCTGGGTCTCTCTGACCCCAAACTCATGCCCTGGCCACTCCAGTGGCCACAGTCAGGAATCATGTAATCATGCCTGGATACGGGTCACCAGTCTAGTACCTTCTAGAGCCTACATCCTGACCCTAAGAAATGCAGGTGCTGGTACCATCCCCATTTTGCAGAGAAGTAGGGGCCCAGAGAAGGTATTATACTTTGCTGCCCTAGGTCACATGGCCAGGGAGTGGCGGAAGTATGAGGTTCCGTGGCAGCCAGAGATGGGAAGGCAGAGGCAGGGTTCCAGCTTCCCTCCTCTTCCCACCCCCTCGTGGTTCCATTCGGTAAAGCCAGGCATTAGGTAAAGACTGAGCGAGGACACTCTGTCGCCCCCGTCCCAGTGGCTAAGTGATAAGGAATCAGACGGCCCACAGCCTCTAGAGGGAGTAAGATGAGTCTGCAGTTAACTTGAATTCTAGACAGGGCCACAGCAGGGCTGGAGGAGGGAAAACCTGCAGCTGGTCCTGAAGGGCTTCCTGACAAAGGGGGCTGTGCTGTGTGCCTTGAGGACTGAGTGGCTCTGCCTAGCATTCAGTAAATGGGGGTGTCTCCGGCAGATGGAGTTTGGAGACCCAGGAGCATGAGCAGGAATGGCAGGGGGAGCTTATGAGATGGTGGAGGTGAAAGGGAGATAAACTAGGAGGGTGTGCAGGGGCATTGGGTGCTGAGCTAAGGGTGCCGTGAGGCCCAGAGGAAGAGGGAGGCCAGTGAAGGCATCTGAGAGGCAGGGGCCAGTTAAGATCCCGGTGCCTTAGAGGC